TATGTCGGCTTTCTAACCGATATTTAGCAAAGAATGTGTTTAACAACAGACTTATTAGATTTATGAAGTTTGATGCTTGTTATCTGGGATTCATTCCTGATATATTCAGACTCTTGCAAAAGTATAATCTGTCTCATGTACTCCAGATCTATCTAAATGAAGGGACATTTCCTTCAAAATATGTGTGGAAGCGAACTTTGTTACAACATGTAATTAACCCTGATGTTCAAAACAGATATCTAAGACTTGTAGAACAGGATGAATTTGCGTTATTGTGCGAAATTTTGAAACCGAACAGTCACTGCTTATTATGGCAAACTGCTAGAGGAAATTCATATATGACAATACTCTGTAAAAAAATGATAGCTATCACTGGAAAAATATACTCTGCGAATTATTTACAGACGTGTTCTAAATGTTCATGTGTGTCAGATGATATTATTGTACATTTTATTATCTTCTGTAATGCAAATGAAAATTTACGGAGTGCCATGTTAAATCGTTTCATTACTGTGTTTGGGCTAGGTCTATTCTCAAATCTAAGGTCGCAGAGCCCTCGTGAACAATGTATTACTTTGCTCAGATCGGCAATAATGGTATGTAATAACGCTTTCTTGAATTGTTGGCTAGTGAGGTATATCAATGCCATGGTACCCCAAACATTAACTTAGGTTCTATAGTGAAACTATGTGACAACCTATAATATATTCTATTTTACATGTTTTAGGTATGCTGTAATTGTAAATTGTACTTTTAGCTTTGCCTCTGTTTGCCTTAAGTCTCAAACTTAGTTTGTAGTTACGCAATTTTTTTTCTTTTTATGTTAGAGTTTACAATGTGCTATGAGTGCACACATGTAGTCTGATTTATTTTTGCGTCTGTATTGTTATGCCTTAAAATTAACGATGTATGCTTATATAAACTTAAATGTCATTGTCACAAACAGATAAACGATCTTGCATTTATGATTTTGCTATATTAAGTTTCTTTTTCTGATATACATTATGTTTGTCGAAATTTTTTCATATAAAGAAACATCTCAGACATCCCATCCTTTTGCTGTCCAGCTTAATGTTTTCGTTTCGTACTTAAGCAGGCTGTTGTTAAAGGTATTACTATATTGACGCTATTTTTGTTTGTTTCAGTCTATTAAGTTTCGATCAATAATTTCGAAATAGACTGTTCTATCAAATAAAACTTTGCATTTACCACCAAAAAGTAGTGTCTCTTATGTTCTCACTTATCTTCAATATTTTGACTATTATTATTGAAGAGTTATATTAAATGTTACCCTGGTATAGGTAGCACAAATGTAACTAAATAAATATTCTACTAAGTAATGAAATCTTACTTCAGTCCGTAGTCTTTGGCCTCTTTACTGACACTAAATATTTGCATTTGTTAAATATGTGTACGTGTTATCAAAATACATTTGTGAACTCTCAAAAATTAGTACAATGTTATTGATATTTGATTAGTTTGTTGACATACTACTGTATTATGTTTGTTGAATTGTCATAATTTTGTATATATGTGTGATATTTATATGTATGCTTGTTCTGCTCTTCATTCAATGGAGGAATAAAAGATATATATATATCTGATCTCAGACAATTGATCAATATTTATAAATCAGTGTAATTGAGTTGATCTGGCATTTGGGGGAAAATTCGAGACTGCCTTACTTCAAGTTCAAATAAAATATTTGGTTAACTGATGAAAATGATTCTTGAAAGTTTTTTTGAACTCACCTTTTAGACTAAGAAATTTTAGCAGGTTCCTTTACCTGTCCCCATCTTAAGATCTTATTAGTTAAGAATAATTTAAATTGATAAATATTCAGTTCATGAATTAATTTAAAAGAATGCAAGCAGTCAAATGGTTTTTGTACAAGTTTCAGAAAAAAAGATTCCTTAAGAATATGGTTATAATAAAAAAAAATTGTACAATATAAATAAACATTTTGCCATAATATTTTTCCAGCGATGACAAATGGGTGGTCTGGACAAATCTCATACATAAAATGATAACCTAACACAGTCAAAAATCAATTTTAAATTCCGCCGACAAGTAAAATGTTAAATTAAATCCTTATTTTGTTTAAAGATTACTTTAAAAGATAAGATTTTAAGTGTAAAATAATCTTTTGAAACTGTCATTCATTTGCAAGTCAAATATTTAATGTATTGTTTATGACAGTTAATCAATACATGTGAACTTAACTTTGAAAACTACCTATTTTATGTTTTTATATTGCCTTAACTTATTTATAAGCTATTTTTTTGGTGGTACTGTAATTCAAATGCTTTGGATACATTGAACAAACTCAAGACTTAATATTACAGTTTACACATTTTTTTAGAAAGATTCAGGAAAATAAATCTTGCCAGTTGGCCTCAGAATTTGAATTAATTGCCTAGTTGTAAAATAACTTGAAAACTTAAGGTGACAACAGACACTTTCCGTGGTACTCACATAAATGTCATTTAAACCAACTTATTTTAGTAATAATTATTATTTATTTAATCTTTGTGCATTAAATGTCGTTGATCATCATAAAAAATAACATATTTGAAAAAAATGCCTTTGTAAATGATTGATTTTTAATAAAAATCCTAAAATTTTAAATCGTCATATCAAAGTCATTTTTTATTTTTTTTGTCATCAAACTTTTGGAAAATAAACATACTTATAATATCTAGGGAACCGTGTCTCAAATTTTTTCTATCTTTTCTCAAAAAAATATTACGTAACGTCAAACATTTTATACGACTTTTTTCACCATACATATTACGTAATTAAAGATAATTAAGTCGCTGATTGAGCAAACAAAAATCCCTGACACGGTTCCCTCCGTAAATAAATTCCCTTTCATGTGCTTTAAACCGCATGTTAATTGCTTGATTATTAAAAAAGTTATGCCGATTCAAAGTTAGTCCGACCCCCATCAAACGAAGAGTGACATAAATCGGCTGTTCTCTCTCGGACCCCTACGTTTCACGCTAAATAATTGCATAATACACAAATATCGCACCAGAGAGGGTCACAATTGTTGCGGTAACATACTCTAACAAACATTTTATGACCCAGTGTCATCTGACCAATCAAAAATTTGCTGATTAATATCAGGTTATAACAGAAATTTCTTCAAATCTTAACGTGATTTACTTTTCGTCTGTATCGGTCTCACATGTCACGTGACTTTCGGTAAAATTTGAGGCACTCGGTGGGGGAAAATGGAACGTATTTGCACACCGTTAGCGGGGTATTTAATTGTTTCACGTTTGAAGATTATTATTATTATCATCAGCATTATTATTATATTATATATACCAGTGTCACTCTGTCTGTGTATTCGTGTATGAATTTCCGTTAAAATATAAATTAAAATAACAAAAAACTTAGCTTCTGACGGTCTTTTAAAGTCCATGGTAGATGTACAAATTAGAACGGGATATTATATATTTTTTCCTCCAAATTGATATAAATGCTTGACATATTTTAATAGAAATAAAAGGTATCACTCGATAATTATGATCTGATCTTCTTTGACATCTATTATCATGAAAATCATTTACGCACGGCATAGAGATCCAGTTTCTACTGGGGTATACAATAATTCCATACTTTGTCCCAGGTTTATTAGTACTGTGTTCGATTTACTGGCGAACAATTTATTCAAAGCATACACTGATAATATATATCAATATTTTTTTTATTGATTCATAGAGAAATAATCATCCTTAAACAATCTAAAATGGTTTAGAAATTTGTCAGGGACACCGTTCCGCCAGTCATATATACGTTCACATAAAAAAGTTGTCTGTTGTTGTTGTTTTACTTGACATTGTTAGAAAACGAGGTTGAATGTAAAGCAAGCCATTGAATCCGTTCAAAAGTCCATAAACTCAATGTAATATCTATCAGATTAACGGGACAGACAAATTATTTCACACATTATGGATATTTCAGCAACCATATTTTTAAAACAACCCCGTGGTCGTGCGATTTGCCGCTATGCTTAATTGTTTATGTTTTATACATTATGTTACGTACATTGGCCGACAATTTCTTATTTTATAAAAATGCTCAATAAAAGGTAGACGATATTCATAAAAGATGTACGTATTTGTACAATACATGAATTACGAGTAGTATGGACCAGTATGGACCGGTAATTCACGGATATATGGAACTACCGATTTCCCTCATTGACGCCTCAACAGGGGCGGAGCGTTATCGATAATTGACAGGTTACGCGAATAGCAGATAAAAATGGTACAGGTACCGTTTAAAAACGTTTAAAAACACATTTTTGGACTAACTGCTTCCAAAATTAAATCACGAATGTGTTCAGAAATGGTTGATAAATCGACTAAGCAAAAAATCTCATTTTAGGTTTTTTCAGTGATAATTGACTCCGTTGTCACCTTAAGAGTGTAAAATATATCTTTAGAACTGATATGGTTAAGCAACTAAAAAAAATTCCACAGGGTCATTTACACAGATAATAACACAAAATTAACATTGTTGAAAAGTATGAGTGTAAGCAATAAAAAAAATTAGGATAAAATATCAAATGAACAAATCATTAATTATAATTTATTCTTGTAAGAATTTTAAGAGATGTAATGGGAATAAGGCCTACATGTAGTATGAATATTTGAAATTAATAAAATACAAAAAAATGTCATGAAAATATTATAACTTCTTAAAATTGACCATTCAGAATCAGATATGAATGAGAGAGTAACAGCTCATTTTAGGTTTATGAAAATAAAATATTTGATTTTTTTGAAAATGTTATGTTTTTCGTTTTTTAAAGATTGACAATAAAATTTTGTGTTACACTTGGCTACACTTATTAGTTATGGCACAGGTTTATATGATAATTCAGAGGTAATTTGAATAGATTTAGCAATTTTAGTTTTAGCAATTTTAGTGTTCAAGATATATCTAATCCAGGATATAGCCGTATAAACAGTGAATTAAATACCTACCGCGAATATTTTGCTATATTTTCTTCCGACATGTAAAATACAATGTTATTGTGAACAGCTTGCAGTTTATCTCTGTCGAATCCATCGGCTCTTTTCTCTTTATCCGAGCAACTGCTTACTTTTGAATCGACCCTCAATAAAAATCCAATCAAAATTCCGAGGAAAAATAGAGTAAAAAATCCAATAAGAGTACAATATATACTCCAGTACTTCCAACAATTTACAGATTTTGTTGTTTTCACTTTTTCTGCATCAAATAATCTTACAACATCACTCTGATCAAAAGAATCTTCATTTTTCCACGAGCGAAAATGTTTTGGTGTTTTCAAAGTAGCCGCCATGTTTCAAATGATAATAATAGAGAACGAAAGTAGGGAGCGTCTCAAAACAATTACGTTTTTTAAAGGTTTACACCCCGTTTGATTCATCTACCGAAAAAGAGTGACCATAACTTACAGTATCAATGAGTTTTTTCAAAATATATCAGGAAATAATTTTGTGATAAATATTTGACTTGGATAATAACTAGGGATTTGATCTCTACTAACCAGTACTTAGAAATAAAATGTGACTATAAACTGCCATATATTGTACAGCAGCTGTATTTAGTTATCTCCCCTGATTTCCAACCACTAACCATTATTCTTGTGAAAATGACATTTGCAAAAAATAAAATATAATGATCCATAGTGATGAAAAAAAGTTAACCTTTTGTAACATAGTTGCCAGGAGACTTTACCTTTAACTATGGGGACAGCAAATTCCTGATAAAATCCCAGTCATGACAGAGGGGAGTGGTGGCATATATAGTGGTTAAGTTGTCTGTCTCTCATTTCAGGGATCATGTGTCTGTCAGCTCTACCTTTGTCAGAATAATATTCCCTCATATGACACCAGGTTAGTTCCAGGATCTGGATTGGAAAGTAATTAATATAAGTTGCAAGAACTTGTTTCATAATCAAGCTAAAATAAGTATATTAAACTAAACTAAACTAATCATGACAGACAATTAATGAGATTGTAGAAATTCATATAGTTTCTTCCAAATCTCCTTCGGCTAGATCACCCTGTTGCAATGGCTGTATAGGACTAGTTCATCAATTAGACACAGTTGTCTATGATATACTGAACTCTGAAACAAGAGCCCGGTTTGAGCCGGGTGATGCTCCCCAAATAGGTTTTGGACACAGGAAAGTACACCTCTTGTAGTTTCAGAGTTATGTCCCTGGAAAAAGTTTAAAGTGCAATAATTCCAAAATTGGGCAAGGCAGAGTAACTGTTCTTTGCACTGCACTTCTAATCACTGTGATCTATCAACCTACAAAGTTTCTTGTTGATATCTCTTATGGTTTCCGAGTTATGTTCTGGACAACTTCAAAAAGTAAAAATAAACAAAGGGTAATAACTCCAGAATTAGGCAAGGCAGAGTTATGATTCTTGTGCACTACACATCTACCCATTGAGATATATCTACCTACAAAGTTTCATGTTGATATCTCTTATAGTTTTACAGCTATGTCCAGTACAAGATTTTTCTAAAAGGGGAGATAATTAAAAAATGAGGCTTAACAGAGTTATGGTTCTTTTGCACTGCACTTCTACTCAATGAGATTTATCTACCTACAATGTTTCATCTTGATATCTCTTATAGTTTTAAAGTTATGTTCCGGACAAAGTTCAAAGTGTTGAAATTAACAAAGGGCAATAACTCCAAAATTAGGACAAAAAGAGTTATTGTTCTTATGCACTGCACATCTACCCATTGAGATCTATTCACCTTCAAAGTTTCATGTTGCTATCTCTTATAATTTTAGAGTTATGCCCTGGACAAGATTTTTCTATAAGGGGAGATAATTCAAAAACCGGGCAAATTAGAGTTATGGTTCTTTCGACACTGCACTCCCCCTCAATGCCCTCTACCACTGTATGAAGTTTAAACAAATTATCTCCAAGGATTTTCAAGTTATGCTCCGGACAAGACAACGGATGGACAGACAGATGTCCGGACGGACAAGGCGCCGTCTATATGCTCCCCCGAAATTTTTCGGGGAGCATAAAAAACCCAACATAACCAGGTTATTGAATTTGGTAGTTGTTTTATTTTAAAAATCAACAACAAAGATATCAAATAGATAAAATCACTGAGTAAACATTTCACACAATTTATCAACAAATACAATACAAATTCATAAAAATATATTTGAACAATTGGCTTCATTATATGTTTTTTTTTAAAGCTTCTTTAGTTACAAAGTAGCTTAAAATGGCAAGATTGAAAATATTGCAGGCTCAGTTTGATTGACGTTGTTCATGGACAGTACTGTTAATAATAGCACCAGCTTAAGCAGAATTCAACATTCAACAAGTTGCATACAGAACTTTTAACTAAAGTGTATGGCAGAAGCAAGGGTGAGCCCCACTTTTCTTTATAAAGTCAAGATAACAAGACCCAATACACTCACTATTCACTTCCACACAATAACACAATTTAAATCAAAATCTAATTATAAAAAAAAAATCTAAAAAATTATGTTCATACAAAACTTTTATAAAACTGCTAAATTTGTAAAAAATACTGTTAAAACGTTTGGTCTAAGTATCAAAATCAAAGCACTAAGTAATGTATTTATTGTCGGAATCATACACCATAGCTTAGTATTTCGATCTTATAAAGAAATAATTGGGAGTTACATTTTTCGGCAGCAATAGTGCACAAGTTTTTTTATTTTAGTAAAAGCAGGCATTCAAGGTTTATTTGTCAAGCCCTTTAGATGCGAAATTTCCGAAAATAATTAAATATTTTCAACTACGTGTATATTACACAGAATGTTTTATACTTGTTTCTTACAATTGTTTTCTTTTTCAGGGTTATGTTCAGCCTGGAGCAAAAATATAAAAGTGTCTTAGTAAGTGAAACAAATAACATGGACTTTTAACAAATCGATGAAGCATATCCATTTAATTCTGTTTTGATTCACTGTATATTATCATTCTGTTTGCATATAAGTACATGAAATGAGTTTATTTCAGAAAGAAAGGACCTGTGCCTTTTTCGCATCTATAATTTTCAAAATTCATTTCCTTTTTCTATTATGACAGTCACTTATAAATTTAGACCTCTAATTTGTGTTATACGAGGGCTGTCCGGAAAGTTCGTAGACAAGGCTATAAAATTATTATAAGCAGTAATATTAATATGATGATTAAATATTTTGCTTAAGTATTCATTCTGCTACAAATTCCTAAATTAAAAAACATGATAAAAGTTGTATTTGCAAATCGCCAATCACCATGGCAACATGATCAACGAATCACGGAGCACTTTGATTTCATGACAATAGCTACTCGAATAAAAAGTTGCTAAAAGTTGTAATTTTAACGCAAACTCTGGTTTTAATGTTGTGACATCAAAGGGTACTACTGCTTGATATTTAGTGAAAATTACGACGTCATACGCAAAGAAACAACTTGTTAACGACGATTATGGGCAATGACGTTGCGTTAGTTTTGTGTCGCAAAAATGACCTCAAATTCATGGACGGAGCAACGTAATGTTATTTTACTTCAAAGCAATGCTTATAATGATTATAATCTTTACTTGAAAAACAAAATCAACCATAAATTGTTAAGGACAACATGTGTTTAATTGTCAAACACGATTAAGAAGCGGTGATGACAGTATTTTGTATAAGAAACGTATCAGATTACCAAAAGTAGCATGGCCGAAATGTCGTAGATAATGATTGCGTTACAACAATCCTTGAAAAAGACAGACATATCACACACTGTATGGGAACCAGTGACACATTTGTTGTTGTTGTTTTTTTAATAGCAAGTTTTAATAGCATGTAAAAGATACGCCAAATTCCAGGGCTTTTTTAAACGAAAAAATTGAATAGGGGGAAAAAATACATTAAATTGACCGCTGACTTTCAAATTTCTCCATCGATTATATTTTGTATGAAAATCTTTAAAAATACAACGCAGTAAAATTCAGTAATTTTTTCGAAAAAGGGTTTTTCCTAATATGTATTTTTTCTGAAAAAATTGTAAAACGTATTATTGTTATACAATAAAAAATGAAAAGTATATAACTTCGGACATCCCTCGTATGTCATGGGTTAAAAGGGGCAGTATCTTGACCTGGATTCATCTTCAAAAATTTCCTCCCCACCCATTCAAAGTGGGGGTAGGACCCGGTCACAGCACCTACTCCCCTTTTTAATAAAAATATTTCAAAACTTTGGCACAATCTCCCAGCCTGATAATAATAAATTAAGGGGTAGTATAAAAAAGATTTTGTTGTCTGCACTGTTTTTTTGTTTGTTTGTTGTTTTGTTTTGTTTGTTACATAAAATCTACATAGATGTATATAAAGAAATGCATATAGGTTAAACACAGAAAATATGAATACTAGTAAACTAAATCAACAAATACATATTTTAAAACTATGCCTTGAATGAACCATATTAAAGGTTCAAATTTATTTTTTTTAAAACAGAAGTACATGTATGTGAGACACATGTACATTTAGTACATGGGGTAGGTTTTTCTTTTTTTTTTTTTTAAACAAACATAAAATTTTCCGTAAATAATAAAACATGTTGTTTCAAAGTAATCATTCTTAAAATTAAAGTTTGATACATTACTCTTTTGATAATATATGAAACAAAAAATACAGGCAACATATAATTCTAATGAACATGTCAAATCTATGTTTTAACATGCCTGTAAAAACGAGATGGTATTTTAAAATATTTGGACAACTTCCACATGTCTTTTTCATCAAGGTCATACTTCCATTGGAACCACTTCCAAAATAATGCACCTTTCCAGCTGAAGAAAAACACATATGCACTAAATCCGAAAAAACCCAACGTGATAGCTATACCAAAGCGTAGGACTGCCGTGTTACTGGGAAGATAATGTTCTATATAACTGAAGGGAATTGGTTTTGCTGGGTAGTCTAGGGATTCAGGTTCAACTGTATCTATTTGATATGATGAAATTTTACCATCTGCATAGAGAATCTGAAAATAGCACATTAAAAGTTTTATTAATAAAACAATTTAAGGCCAACAAGTTAAAGAATCAACATATATAATGATGTGTTACAATCCCCATGAGAATTAACTTAAGAGGGTTTTACAGTTTTATAAGTGGAGGAAGATCTCAAGTGACCCTCTGTGCATTATTTCAGGCATGAACTGGTACCAAAGTAGAACCACCAACATTTTGTTAGTTAGCTGGACAGCTTCTTCACATGAGAGAATCCAAAGTCCATCGCAGATTTTGAGCCCACAGCAGTGAGAGGCAAGTGGTTTGAAGTCAACAAACTTAACCACTTGGCTAAGGACACCACAAAATTTTGGATATGAATCCTACTAAAATATGTATGATCTTAAAAACATAAAATCTTTTCCCTTTACATACGAGCCTTTACACAGTTCTGCTAAAATATAGGCTTATAGCCAATATATTTAAAATGGCTATACAAACATGCCTCTGTAAAATGGAAAATATAGTGATTCTGAATCACATCAAAGTTTTGCTTTTAAACTGAATCCAAAGGAGTATAGAAAAAACAAACTTTTGAAACATCTTCAAAAACAACAACAACACACCATTGAATAACTTAGGAAAGGAAAAGTTCCATAACCTTTAACCTGGTGTATTTCTTAAGTGGCCTTTTCCAGCTTCCATTGTAGAAACTGTCCTTTATTACTTTCAGAAATATCAAGATGAAAATTTTAAGTTAGGCCGCCAGCAATATAGAGCCTTGTCAAACTTTACAAATTTGCACACTGGCATGGCTCTATACTGGTGGTAAATGCTCATCCCTTTTTGTTTCCAGCAGGTAAGACATCTCACCTGGTTAGCTGCCCTTTCTCCTGCTTGTATAGCACCATCCATATATCCTGGCCACATAGTGGCAGTTTCTGTACCAGCAAAATATACATGACCAACTGGCTCCCTCAAACATCTGAAATGATAAAATCATATTTCCTGCTTTATCCATTACAAACTAGAACAAGATATGTTTGTAAAACATGTATGCCCCCTATCAGCAGCCAATTAGTCATGTGATAAGGTTATTATGCATGACTTCTGACCCAGTGATCAAACAATTAATAAGGGTTATAAAGTATCTACTGGTCATGACCATGACCTTTGACGGCCCTTGACCGCAAAACTCAATAGGGGTCATCTGCTGGTCACGGGACCAAAATCATCATACAAAGTTTGAAGTTCCTAGGCCTAGGCGTTTTTAGTAAATTGATCAGAAACCGTTTTTTTTACCTACAAGGTCAATGTGACCTTGACCTTTGACCCCTTGACCCCGAAAATCAATAGGGTCATCTGCTGGTCATGACCAATCACCATGCCAAGTTTGAAGTTCTTAGGCCTAAGGGTCTCTTATTAATTGATCGGAAAGCCGTTTTAACATACAAGGTCAATGTGACCTTCGACTTTGACCCCAAAATCAATAGGGGTCATCTGCTGGTCATGACCAATCACCATGCCAAGTTTGAAGTTTCTAGGCCGAAGCGTTCTTTAGTTATTGATCAGAAACCGTTTTTACTTACAAGGTCATTGTGACCTTGACCTTTGACCCCTTGATTCCCAAAAATCAATTAGGAGTAATCTGCTGGTCATGAGCAAATCAACCATACCACCAGTTTGAAGTTCCTAGGCCTAAAGCGTTCTTGAGTTATTCGATCAGAAACGTTTTTTACTTAAACAGGTCAATGTGACCTTGAACCTTTGACCCCTTCACCTAAAACACGTCAATAGGGTCATCTGCTGTCATGACCAATCATCACACAAAGTTTGAAGTTCCTAGCCCTAAAGCGTTTTTTGTTAAATTGATCGAAACCGTTTTTACCTACAAGGTCAATGTGACCTTGAACCTTTGACCCCTTGACCCCAAAATCAATAGGTCATCTGCTGGTCATGACCAATCACCAATACCAAGTTTGAAGTTCCTAGCAATAAGGGTTCTTAAGTTATTGATACGGAAAGCATTTTTACCTACAAGGTCGCCCATGTGACCTTGCCCTTTAACCCTTAACCCAAAATCAATAGGGGTCATCTGCTGGTCATGACCAATCAACCATACCAAGTTTGAAGTTCCTAGGCCCTAAGGGTTCTTTAGTTATTGATCGGAAACCGTTTTTTACCTAAGAGGTCAATGTGACCTTGACCTTTGACCCCTAGACCCCAAAATCAAATAGGGGTCATCTACTGATCATGACCAATCACCATTCTCAAGTTTTGAAGTCCCTAGCCTAAGTGGTTCTTTCATTATTGATCGAAAACCGCTTTTACCTACAAGGTCAATGTGACCTTGACCTTTGACCCCTTAACGCCAAAAATCAATAGGGGTCATCTGATTGGTCATAACCAAATCACCATACCAAGTTTGAACGTTCCTAGGCCTAAGGTTCTTTTGTTTGTTATTGATCAGAAACCGTTTTTAATTAAAAGGTCAATGTGACCTTGACCTTTGACCCCTTGACCCCAAAATCTATATGGGTCATCTACTGATCATGACCAATCACCATACCAAGTTTGAAGTTCCTAGGCCTTAAGGTTCTTTAGTTATTGATCGGAAACCGTTTTTTACCTAAAAGGTCAATGTGACCTGACCTTTGACCCCTTGACCCCAAAATCAATAGGGGACTCATCTACTGATCATGACCAATCACCATACCAAGTTTGATGTTCCTAAGCCTTAAGGTTCTTTTTTAGGTATTGATCGGAAACCGTTTTTTACCTATATAAACAAGGTCAATGTGAGCCGTCCCACCTTGAACCTTTGACCCCTGACCCCAAAATCAAATAGGGGTCATCTACTGGTCATGACCAATACCATACCACCATATGTTTGAAGTTCCTAGGCCTTAAGGTTCTTTGTAGTTATTGATCGGAAAACCGTTTTTGCTTTTGGGCAAGGTCAATGTGACCTTGACCTTTTTGACCCCTTGACCCAAAATCAATAGGGGTCATCTACTGGTCATGACCAATCACCATACCAAGTTTGAAGTTCCTAGGCCTTAAGGTTCTTTACGTTAATTGATCGAAACCATTTTTGCTTTCAAGGTCAATGTGACCTTGACCTTTGACCCCTTGACCCCAAAATCAATAGGGGCTCATACTACTGGTCATGACCAATCACCATACCCAAGTTTGAAGTTCCTAGGCCTTAAGTTCTTTAGTTATTGATCGGAAACCGTTTTTGCTTTCAAGGTCAATGTGACCTTGACCTTTGACCCCGTTGACGCCCACAAAATCAATAGGGGTCATCTACTGGTCATGACCAATCACCCATCCAAGTTTGGAAGAGTTCTGTACTAAGGCCGTAAAAGGGATTCTTTATATTAGTGATATGGAAACGCCGGGTAGTATTTTTTTTTTTACACCTACAAAGTTCAAATGTGAACCTTAGAAAAACCTTTGACCCCCCTTGGACGCCGGGCCTGGCCCCAAAATAATTAGGGGTCGCATCTAACTGGTCATCGCGACCGAATGCTGACACCATGCAAGTTTTGAAGTTCCTAGGCCTAGGGTTCTTTATAAGTTATCACTTCGGAAACCATGTTGGTCTACTGGACGCGACGGAACACGACGCGACCGGACAGACCGATCGGACCGACAAGTGCAAAGCAAATTAAGAAAACCGCTTCGCTCAAAAACAAACACACAACACAAGGAGACCAACCCTCCAACAATAAAACCTCAAGCCCCTGCCCTTTTTTTCAAAATGGGGGCATAATAATAATATCTGTCATATTTTGCGGTTCGGATCGGAATATCCGTCCCAAGGTGAGGGACGGATATTCCGATCCGAACAGCAAACATATGTGAGATATTTTTTCTTGCATATTCTACCATATTCCATTATATTTTAAATTCTTTATCTTTAATTTCAAAGGAAATTTATATCATAACAACCGTAACTACTTTCTTACAACAGCGTATGAATTACAACTTCATTCATAACGGTCAAATGACGTCATCCTAAGCGTGCCATTGTGCAGCAAGCGACTCATCTGGCATCCCCCATGCCAGATGAAATTTCCGGCATGGGTAAAACTCACGGAAACGCCAGTCTGATATGCAAGAAATGTGTTGTCAAGCCACAGGTGCCCCGTCATGCAGCCAAAATTTCAGATGTTACAATAATTATTTAGTTCCAAATTTGTTTGCACAAACTATGTTTTTAATTTTAAGTTCAAAGTCCTTAAAACTATTCAATGTAAACACAAACCATTTTTATACAAAGTTTAAGGTACTAAAACTATTCAGTGTTAACCTTTTGTAAATTGCATATTGCACATTTGTAGCCAAAATAATAACTACATACATTTCTACAAAAGTATGAGTGCTGAAACTAAAAATCAAAATTTTTCCAACATTCAAGAGAGATAACTTTGTCCAAAATCATTGAACCACGACCAAATTCGAACTTGAACTGCTTATTCCTAAGACGTATGTATATGTCAAATTTGAGTTGAATTTGTACAATAATTGGGGAGATAATGTACGGAAACTAAAAATTTCTGATTATTTTTTTCAAAGTTCAACAGGGATAGCTCTGCCAGCTATTATCAAACAATGACCAAATTCGAACTTGACCAGTGTATTCTTATGACATATCCATATGTTAAATTTGAGTTGAATATGTACAACTGTTGAGGAGATAATGAATGGAAACTGCAAATTTCATTTTTTCAAAGAGAAAGAGGCATAACTCTGCCAACAAGAGCACCGCTAGGCGGAGCATTATATGCCCGAAAGTGTTTTTTTTTTTAGTAAGGATGAAGCATTTGTAAGACATGGGAATTCGCTGTTCATCCTATAAAATTTTACAGCTGTAAGTTGATTAATACTTAAGTTATTAATAATGACCTTAACATTTGACCTTGTGACCCCTAAATCAATAGGGGTCTTCTACCTTATATGGACAATCATCCTAAGAAGTTTGAATATTGTGGGCCAATTGGAACTTTAATTATGCTCTAGAAACTGTTTTTAGTATTAAGGTAAAAGTGACTTTGACCTTTGACCTTGTGACCCCAAAATCAATAGGGGTCTTCTACCCAATATGGACAATCATCCTATGAAGTTTGAATATTGAGGGCCAAATGGAACTTACGTTATGCTCCGGAAACTGTTTTTGGTTTTAAGGTAATTGTGACCTTAACCTTTGACCTAGTGACCCCAAAATCAATAGGGGGTCTTTTGCCCAATATGGACAATCATCCTATGAAGTTTGAATATTGTGGGTCAAATGGAACTTAAGTTATGCTCCAGAAACTGTGTTCAGTTTAAAGGATATAGTGACCTTTTGACCCCAAAATCAATAGGGGTCTTCTACCTAATATGGACAATCATCCTATGAAGTTTGAACACTGTGGGCCAAATGGAACTTAAGTTATGCTCCGGAAACTGTTTCCAGTATCAAGGTAATAGTGACCTTGACCTTTGACCTTGTGACCCGAAAATCAATAGGGGTCTTCTACCCAATATGGACAATCATCCTATGAAGTTTGAACATTGTGGGTCGAATGGAACTTAAGTTATGCTCCGGAAACTGTTTTCAGTTTTAAGGTCATAGTGACCTTGACCTTTGACCCCAAAATCAATAGGGTCTTCTACCCACTATGGACAATCATCCTATGAAGTTTGAACATTGTGGGTCAATTGGAACTTAAGTTATGCTCCGGAAACTGTTTTCAGTATTAAGGTAATAGCCACCTTGACCTTTGACCTTGTGACCCCAAAATCAATAGGGGTCTTCTACCTTATATGGACAATCATCCTATGAACTTTGAACATTGTGGGTCGAATGGAACTTAAGTTATGCTCCGGAAACTGTTTTTAGTTTTAAGGTCATAGTGACCTTGACCTTTGACCTTTTGACCCCAAAATCAATAGGGGTCTTCTACCCAATATGGACAATCATCCTATGAAGTTTGA